ATTGGGATTAAGGGGGGGTGTATGAGGGGTGGAGCTGGTGCTTGGACAGAGGGATCGGATGAACAGGAGACAAAATGAGTTGAACAGGAGACAAAATGAGATTATGGTGTTCAAGAGGAGAGAATTAAAGTTTGGTCGAAGGGATTCATAGGAGAGAAGATATAAATTGCGGCATGAAACTATTTTGGGAGTGAAGGATTTCACGGGTAGGTCGTATGTAATTTGGATCAGGTCATGTGATGAGAGAAATGGAACGGGATGTTGAGAAGAGGAAAGGATTTTGATGGGAGAGTCAGAGATATAGAGGTCTAACCAAGTGTCGGAAAATTGCGTGTGATGGGTAGGGTAATAAGGAACAAAATGAAAGTTAAGGGAATACAGCAGGCCAGTAAGGAAGTATTTTTGACGTTAAAATCACCGGTAATGATAATATTGGTGTAGTTGGAAACCAGGTTAAGAAGGGAATATTCAATAAAGTTGTTAAATGGAATACGAGGAGGGCGGTAAACTACGGCATACAACAGAGGAGTGGAAATTTCAACGGACGTGGATTCTATGTGAGGAAACTCATGATAAGGAAACTGTAGAAGGATAGATGAGATCTATCTTGACGTATGAACGAGTAATTCGGGAGGGAATTCTGGGAGGATGGGATAAAAGGTTTTAGCCAGGTTTCAGATACGGCTATTATGTGGTAAAAATTATCAAGGAGATATTTCTGGAATTCATCGTAGTGTGCAATAATGAATTGTGCATTGGTGTGACAGAAATTCAGGATATTAGTCATAACTAGAGTTGGGAAGTAGAATTTTGGGGAAAAGGGTCGAGGATAAAGGATAGGATATAACATTTTTTTAAACAAATACTTCGTTTAAACAAAAAAAAAAAAAAAATTGCATACATAAAATAAAAGTTGAAATGAAAACAATGAATTTCCAGCATTTCGAAATAAATATTCAGTTAAGTATAATTTATAGCATAAGACATATAAGTATCCCCTTGTTTTAAATACATTAATAAAATTTGGCAAATAACCAAATAAAGGTCTAAATCATTTATACAAAAATAAAGAAAGCTAAAAATAAAAAATATTAAAATTAAATATTTCTGGCGAGAATAAATTTGTACAAAAATAAAAAAAACCTTCAATAAGGTGTGCCCTGTCAGTCTTGCCCTTGAGGAGAATGGCTCGAGTCTTGGCAGCAGCCACCCTCCTCATCTTCTTCCCCTCACACCACCTCGCGGCCAGGCCAGCTCATCACTCTGCCTCTCTCTTAACTCCAGTTCTCATGTTTGAGGCCACCACAGCAGACAGGTCATCAACATAGGCAGTGACAGGGAACCGCTCTTCCTCTAACACTTCCAGCAATTCATCGAAGACAAGCTTCCACAGAGCAGGGCCAAGGACTAATCCCTGAGGGCATCCCGTCTCTATGGAAGCTTCTACCTCATAATGATTCCCTCTAATTTTGACACGCGTGTCCAGGAGGTAGCTTCTAATAAGAGAATATAAGTTGCTGGGACCATTGAATCTCTGCAGTTGCTGGAGCACGCTAGGCCACCGTACACTGTCAAAGGCGGAGGTAAATAAAAAGGAACTTTTTTGTAGGCTTGTAACCTTATTCTTTTTTCCCTTCACACAACCGTGAAACAGGGTTCCCTCGTCCTCTACTCCTTTCTGATTTCTCCCTCTACAGGTTTGGGTAGGTGCGCTCAACCTTCAAGGCATCGTGGCAGGCGGCAGTCCCTAATACCTGCTGGTGGCTAACTGACGGCTCTTACACTGAGAATTTTGCCACAATAAGGGGAACTTTCTTTCTGCTCTTCTCTATTCGGGTAGCCGCCACATGGTGAAGAATCTGATCTTTCCTTGTCATCATTTTTAAATCGCTAATTTCATTGACTTTCCTAAGGGTCGGAGAACCCCATGTCTTCTCTTCGCATTCAGTTCCTATGATGTTAGCTAGTGCCTTGATTACCATTACCATTATCCACCTCTTTTTAGGTGAGGATATAGGATACTTCTCCCTCATTCTTTTAGTGCTTTTGGGCCTAGTGCTGATCTTTAATCTAGCCTCTTCCGCCCCAATATCTGTAGTTTCCATGCCTTTACACGATTCAGTGGCAATACCAATGGGTGGCTGCCTCCAGGGGACGGGGTGGCCGAGCGGCCTAATGCGTGTCCAAAACAGGCGTTGCCAGGCTACCAAATGATTGACAAACTGAAGTTTATTAGAAATAAAATAGTTATGAGTTCGCGTCCCTGTGCCAGGGAAGCTTTTAACTCTGGCACGAATCTCCCGCTCTCTCCCCTTGGCCCGGGGTGAAAACCCTTGAATAGCTAAAAAAAAAATAAAAATAAAATAAAGATAGCCGCAACCCTACTTCGTCTAATGTGCTACTTTTATCATGCACCACTTTTGTTTTCACCGGGCACGTTGATAGGCCCAACCACTGCCTCGAATAATTTTAAAAGACCCTCCTTCATCAGTCATTTTCTGAAACACTCTAGTTTTACGTATGTCTTTTAAAAAGGTATTTTTCCGAATAACATTTTTCTCCTATGCCTGAGGAACACCTAATTTAATATTACGGTTTCTCACTGCAAATAACTATATTTACAGTAATAAATTCCTGACAACTAATCCCACAACAAAAAATATAACTAAACAAAAAAAAACTTCTCTCCTCCTGCCTTACACTAAAATAAACACTGAATATTTTAAGTACAAAATCACACCAGAAGTCCCGACTCGCCGTTAGTGTCTTTCGGGAATCAATTAGATAGACTTACAAGTTCCAGGACCCAATTAAATATAGAGCTGTATGACAATGCGACTTATCGTGGCTGCTGCTGCCAAGTAACTGAGCTCTAAGAAGCACTACCTTGGTGAAAGTAATCCTCAGAAGCTCCCCGAACATGTCTTGCCTCTTTGACTGACAGGAGACAACTACCAGGAACAGAGTCTACTCCCACCATGAGATATGAGACCTTCGAATTGCTATGGAAAAGCAGAGGATCCATATAGCTCCAGAACTCAATGGTACTGACCCCAGAATCATCAAGAATAAATCCTCCTACATCGAAGAGGAACTCCTAATGATAATCAATGAATGTTTGGATAGGGAGCACTTTCCAAGCAAGTGAAGAAATGCAGATTTGAGACTGCTGTACAAGGGGGAAGGTAAAGACAAGAAATCACCGAAGGCCTATCGTTCGATATGCCTTCTCATTGTTGTCAGAAAGATGTCCCTGGTCCAAATGAGTGTTTGGACAGGGAACACTTTCCAAGCAAGCGTACAATCGCGGACTTGAGAATGCTGTACAAGAGGGGAGGTAAAGGCAAGGAATCATTGGAGGCCTATTGTCTGATATTCCTTCTCTCTGTCATCAGTAAGGCCCTAGAGCACGACTGCAACCAGTCTCAGACCGATCCACAACAGTAAATTGTCGAAGGCAGTTTGACTACACCCGTGGCAAGGGAGCCACTGATGCGCTGCTGAAAGTGCATAGGCATATCATACAGAGGAGAAGGTGGTGAAAAATGTGTTTGACATATCCAATGGCGTTTGGTGGCCCTCCGTATTCCAGCAGACACACCCAAAAACTTGTACTCATTCGTAGGAAGCTACCTGAGTGACAGTAGAGCCAAGATTGAAGGTAGCTTCTACGAGGTGGATAAGAGTATTGAAAGAGGCTGTTCACAAATTTATATCTTAGGACCGGCTCTGTGGAAGCTAGTGTTTGGTTAATTTCTGGGGAGCAAGAGAATGTACAGTTCTAGTATGCCTTGAAGAGACAGGGGCTCCTGGTGCTGTCTAAGGGACTGTACTGTGATGAAAAGTCATCAAGAACCCCAACTAATGCTAGAGGATTGTTGAAAAGGTTCCATTGAGGATTCAACATTAAATTGACATCAGTGAAACCACAAGTAATAATTTCCCAGTAAAATATGCTGCTACATACTTAATGCAGGTATCGTAAGGACCTTCTTCTTTTCCTATTATGAAGGCCTTTAAAATACCTTTGTTAAATATATAAAAACAGATTTGATAGAAAAACTATTAGCTCCAATTTTAATAATAATGGTAGAGGATAAAGTATGAACTGTCTCGATCCTATAATAAAATTAAAATGAATTAATGCACCTTATTACTGAAAAATGAATGAGGATTTTGATTGTTGAAATTTCTGAGAGCTCAGTCAAATTCAAATTTAAAGTTTGATAAATATTATAAGAACAGAATATAAAAGCATGATCTTAATAGTTCATTAGAGAATTACAGAGTACCAGTGGTATTCTTATTAGATTTCAGGCCTCTTAAAGAAAAAAAAAAAAAAACATTCTTCTAAGAACTGTTGGTAAAGAAAATTAAATTATTAATAGTGAAACAATTGCAACATGTGACATGTTATGTTTTTGTACCTTAATTGATTGCACTTTGCAATGATTAAGCATGTAAAACTTTTGTGAATAAAATTGGTTTTCTATCACAATGGTATAAGTGTGTATATATTGTATTAAGTTTTTCATTTTATTACAGAGTTTTTACAGAATATTATATGATATATTTTGATCTTTTGCACTGCAAATATATTTAACCTTTATATATTTTCAATACTATTATTAATTAAGAGAAGTACACAAGTAAATAAAAAGTAAAAGCTACAGCAACAATAAATTATAATTACAAAATTTTCTTTTAAATTCACAACAATCAAATTCATCTTATACTATATAAGTATATACATTACTTTTATACATACATTATCAATACCATATAAATATATACATGTTGCACATTTCAATGCATAAAAAATAAAAAAAAATAATGTTTTAGAATTGTTTATTATTAAAATTACACCAGTTTCTTAGTCCAAAACCATAAACAATTTATTATATCAAGTTTTCAAACCTAATTTTGAAGATAAAAAAAAAAAAAAAAAAAAATGTTGTTTAAATACATATCAAATAATTTTCTGAACTCAATTTTTGTTATTATCGACTCTGTTGCTGATTAGATGCTCCTGGATCTCCATTTGATCCAGACAAGATAACAAATATTACAAGAGGAACAATGTACATCCACTGAAAAATAAAAATGAATTAGTAAGTAACAAACCAAGAAAAAAATCAACAACTAACTGAAACAGTTAATAAAAATCATTATTACATTGAACATTTCTTTATTTATTTTATCACAGTTACTTTTAAGAACAAAGCTTCTAAACAGGAATTTTCTTATATCATAAGCCTGGACATACACAAACTCTCCCCATGATTATTAAATGAGAATCCTTCATTTTCTTTAATAAAAAAAAGAATTATGATGCAATGTGTCATTTCAATCATTGTATTTGATGGGAGATTGTCCAAAAATTAAAATATTCAGTGTTTTAATCTTAATATTTTATAGTAGAATAGGATGTTCAAAGCTAACCAGGTCTATTACCCTATCAGCAACAGTATAGATGGGCACAGAGAAGTTGCCAAGGAAACAAAAAGCCACATCTACAAGTCGGCATACCTCCTAATCCTCACATATGGACGCGAAAGCTGGATTATGCTGGACAAGCAAGGTGTCATGTGACAATAGCCGAGATGCAGTTTCTGCGGAGAGCTGCTGGAAAGACTAGGAGAGACTGCGTAAGAAATAAACGCATAAGAGAGGACCTGGAGGTGGCGGAGCTAAGGACATTACTGGAAAACCGACTGTTGAAGTGGTTTGGCTACGTTTGTCGGATGGAGGAGGAGAGAGATCTGCGAAAGATTCTGGAAGCTCAACCCACTGGGAGGAGGCCGAGGGGCCGTTCCAGAATTTTCTATCAGAAGTATATGCAACGGATTGGAGAGAAGAGAGGGAAAACCCACCCGGAAATGAGGGTAGGGATCGAGAGACATGGCAGCATTGGATAGAGGCTCCTCAACGCTAGTAATGGCACGAAGAGGAAGACAAAGAAGAAGAAGTATTTGGTGGAAAATTGTCCAAAAATTAAAATATTCAGTTTTTTAATCTTAATCTTTTATAGTATGTAAAAGGCATTTCGAAAGGTATTCTGTATTCCAAACAACCACCAGTAGTAATTAGTCCAGATTACTGAGATTGCACTTTATATATAGTACATGTAAGGGAGTGGGGTAGCTCATTGAGTAAGATACTGTGCTCCTATTCTCCTGGTTCTAGGTTCAAGTCGAAGTATGATAATTAATGAAGAACAACTCTAATTAAAAAATAAGAAATAAACACAACTATTTTTTTAAATTTAGATTGTAGCCTAATAATGCAATAAAAAAAAATCGCCATAAATTTTCAAGAAAACAAAACTGGTCGTTTCTTTTAGGTATCCCAAAAAATTACTGACTATGAATAATTTCAATATTTTGTGAATAAATAACAGAACACAATGGTATTATGCTTTTCCAGGATGGATACGAAATTCTATCAAAAATTCTTTTCTTTGAGATATTTTTCTTAATCAAGGGGAAATTAGCCATAAATCAAACTTGCTTTAGGAGTGAAATCAACCAATTTTCATTTTAAGAGTGATCTTGGGAACTTTTTGAGTATAACTTGATAATATTTTCATTAATTTCAGATCTCTACATGTCAGCATTGAAACCTTAATGTTGTTTGTTGAGTTAAAATTACATCCAGCAGGAACATAGGATACCACCCAAACATATTACTCTAACAAAGATAAAATGACAGATATGAGAAGTATAACCTAATTATAAAAGTGCATCTCACCTTTTTTAATAAAGAACTTAAGATAGAGAGCCACACTACAATGATTAGTTTCTAACCCTATAGTGATATAATATTTCACCAATGAGAATTAAAAAGATCTTGGATACTCGGGTTACAGCAGCAAATAAACAACATAAGTCAATATGATGCTAAACAACACACTAACTACCATGCTATCACATACCTCTAAACTTTAACAAAGCAGAAAATGAATAAATTAATTTAAGTATAATGAAAATGAAGTATAATATAATTATTTGAAACACTTTAGTTTTCACCATATGTTGATTTTATATTATTTTTACATATTTTAACAATATGTAGAACTGTTTTTTATATATTGGCATGATGGCCAAAATGTTAGAACTTTTATATCAATAATATAAAATAAAAAAGTAATAAAAATTAAAATTATCTAAATAATTACGAAAAAAAAATACATCTCTTTAAACTTAAAAATGAATAATTAAATATAACTTTCTTCACCTTCCAAGCAGGCAGACAGTATCTATACATCACTAATTTCAAAGGAAGTACAATAATATTTGTAATAATTACAAATTTCTAAACATTAATGTTGATGATTTTAATAATTAAACTAAATCAAATTAACAGTTTTTAACAAATATAATTAATTACTGAACATCCTGAAAGCCTTGCATTTGCCATTGTCCTTGTCTTACTGATCCTCAGTAATACAGAATCAAGAACAGAAAGTATTAATATATTTAAAGAAGAACTAGGTGGGATTAATACGATAACCAACTCAGAGAAAACAAATTGCATGCATATTGGAAGGAAGCAGCACGCATGGGGTTATCAGGGCATTACCTGAGAATGCCAAGATATTGGAATAAAAAAAAAAAATTGTAAGTAATAGGATGATCAACTCAATGAAGGTAGATATGAAACCAAGGATGTGAGCTGCGGAGAAAATGGTTGTCTCTAGATTGTAAGACTTCTTCAATTAAAGAGAGATATCTAAGAATAAGACTATCAACTGATCCCATTTCCTTTCTACCCTCATATATTACAATAAATTCATGAGCCTCACTTAAAAAAATTGAAGTTAGATATATAGACAATTCATAGATAAATCCAAAAAAACGTTGAAGGGTAATAGGTTTCATAACACTATCATCTAAGCCAACACAATCTATAAAACATGTTGAAAAAAACATAAGTTAAGATTATTCAGTATCTTGTAAGGATGAACCAAGAGGGAATCACCAAATAGATGTAGGAGACCATGAGAAAGAACCTAAATCTATTTGAAGGAGGCATATGAGACTGGAGTAGGAGTCAAGAGCTGGTGCAGAATAAATCCTGACCCAGGCTATATAGAGGAGAACCTCATCCTGCATTATGGTAGATAAAGATCAGTATAAATAATGTAACTAACTGTTCTTAAATTTTCTGCATTATTATATTTTTTCATATTAAGAAAAATATCATTTGCTTAGGTAAATATTGATAAGATAAAAAATTCTTACATATTTAGACAGAAATGAACGATTATCTTGACCTGCTAGTTTTTCTTTTGCTGCACGTTCATGCTCAAGTTTAAGAACATAGGAAGTTAAATCAGGCCTACAACAATACAATGCAAAGTGAGAAAAAAAATTCATAATCTGAAAAAAGTAGTAATAGTAAATTTAGAAAAGTTTAAAATTATGAGATAGTTATACAATTTTATTTGTGGTACAAAAATTCTGGGAAACTAACAAATTAAATACTTAACAGCTAAAGCATTCAATGTTTAATGATAAATTCATTATATGCCAATCATAAGATATAAGTAAAAAGAATAATTAATATACTTGAACCTGTTCTATTTACAGAATTTATTTTTGTGATTTTGTTTTAATAAAGCACAATGACAATTTTTCCATCAATATTGGAGGAGCAAGTTAAAGGATTTTCAGAGAAAATGATTGAGAACTAAATTGTAAATTTTAATGAAAAAAACTAAAACTAAAAAATAATGCTTAAAAAATTCAAATAATCAATTTAATGTGCCTAAATACAATTTTTAAGCGTATTTGTCACTCATTATTTCACTCCATACACTGCATAACCCACGATGTATTCCACCAGCTGAAGATACTTTTATCAGTAAAAATCTAATCACACTGGTATTCTCACCGACTAGAAAATGACTATTGAATCAAACCAACCTTGCAGAAGTTTCCGAAATAGTCAGTAGTCAGGGCTGCATGCATGAAACTTCCTTCAGGCCTTAAATATTATTCAGTGAACCTAAGTTTTGGAATACATCTCTTATATGGTTAGCTTCTAAAACAGCGACGATTTCGGTGATATAGGTATAGAAGAGAATATACTTGAACACGTAGAGAAGTTTCCGTATTTAGGATCAACAATTAATAGAAAAAAAAAATTGAAGAAGTCAAGGCAAGGTTTAAGGTAGGAAATGCTTGTTATTTTTCTGTTGCAAAACTACTCAGCCAACAACAGGTATCTTAAAACTTGAAAATTAGAATTAACAACTCTAAGTTAATTAGTATTTTAAGTAGTCTCCTACAGTTTTTTTATGAATGTGAAACATGGTTGTTTACATTAAGGGATGAGTAAATGTCTTAAGGTTTTTGAAAATACAGTATTGCATAGACTTTTTGGACTAACAAAGGATGAGTCAACCAGAGAATATTGATGGTTACACAATATCGAATTGCTATAATTGAGGTGATTACATTAGGGCGAATAAAATGGGCATATAAAATTGTTGGGATTAGAAATAAGAGAATTTCTAAAAAGTTAATATGTGCTGAGCCGGATAGTAAGCATCTGAGAGGTAAATGGAAGTGAAGTTGGGAGGATTGTGTTAAGTCTGATCTGCCAGAGTTTGGTTTGGATGGTTCCAGGTGGATGGAAGTAGTAGTAGTAGTAGTAGTATTGATATATATGATTAGTAGTATCGGCATCGAACCTTCATTAAGCCTTTTTATAATTATATGATGTCTTGGCATGTCTTCAGATGAGGGCTATAATTGTTAACGCATTATTTCTTAAATTTTATAGTTTCATTGGCTTCTTTTTATAATATAAAGCAGTAACATATTCAATTAATTTATCTTGTATTATGTTTTTAACCTTAAAGTCTGAAAAAGTTACTTAGGAAAAAAATAAAAAAACGTTTTAACGACTTTGTGTACTTTTTAAAGAGAAAGTACACAAAAATGCTTAATATGCTCATCTGGTTGATGAGCATATTAAGAAATTTCTTTCAGTTATATATATATATATATATATATATTAAAATATATATATATATATATATATATATATATATATATATTTTAAATACCAATTAAAATTGCATTTATTATTTTTTATTTTTGATGGTGCTAAGATTTTTAAAAAAAATCTTTGCCAGAAATTTATGTTTTTTTAAGTAAATTAAAATTTTATATTCAACATATAGTTTGAATAGTGTTTTTCATTCAGGAATAAGACAACATTAAATTTTATTTTCATTGGCATGGGCACATATGTCATTATCATAATATAAGATATAACTTATATATGTATAATAAATAATAAAACAATGAATAAATAAGGAAAACTTGATTCACATATTAAGTATAAATAACATTTTAATATATTTTCTTTTTTTTTTGTAAAAACAATTCTCATGTGTGTTAAATAAAATGCTTCTTTAAAGAGAATGAAATTGTCCTTAAAAGTAATTTTTCCAGACTATTTTTTAACAGTATATATTTTTGAATTTTCAACCCTCAAAGTTGCTTCAAGTATAAAAACCATCCATGTAAATTCATTTTTTTTTTTTGTGGAGTTAGTACGAGTTGTAAATAAAATATTTAACATGTTAGCTGTGGTTACAGACCCTGGGTTCCAATATTCGTCTCGACTTCTTCGGCCGAGATTGTTTCAAATTTTGCTTATCTTACTAAGTCTCTAAAATGGTCATTTTGAAAAATATTTAAATGGGAGTTAGATAGATGTAACGATAGATACAAACGTAAATAATCATTATATCTGATAGACGGCGGGGACCGTAACCACAGCTATCTTGTTAATAATATACTTGAACTTGAACTCCGGAAAACAAGTTATAAATAACAACTATGTCACTTATTATGAATATATAGACATAATTCACAGTATCTGTAACAGCTAGTAGCACTAGCATACCAACAAGGGCGTGAGTAACCTCGTAGGGTCCCAAAAGCCCCATCATGGCACTTCATTGAAGTTTTATTTGAATATGATAACTAATTTTTGTATTGGCTTGAACAGGTTCAAATATATTTAAACAAATTGTTAGTATTTTTTAGTAGAACAGAAAAATGTTGAAGAAAACAAACACTTACACTGGGCCTTGTTCTGAACCTTTAAATGTTACTGTTGAATTATTTCTGTTCACTGATGGTGACCTATTTATTTTCTTAGGATATAGTTTAACACAAATTACAGATCCACTCTGGTCCAAATGAACAATTGTTGAAGTTAAAAATCCAGCTTTAATTAAGGTATCCTGAAAATATTTGTGATATATTATGTGAGCTGAATAACTGTTACTCAATAATCATATTATATAAAATTATTTAAAACAATTTTAAAAAACAAATTTAGTCTTATTCTATATACAATATTAAACCTATTGATAAGGATATCACTTTTTAAGGGACACCTCTAATTTTAAATGTACTGCCACAGGAGTATACAAAAACAATGCACTCGAAACCTTTTTTTTAAGGATGCCCTAGATAGGGGTCGCAAAAAAGATTTTTATTTATAGGATTAAATCATTGGGTTGTGGTTGCAAATTATTGCAACTACAGCCACTTTTGTTCAGTTTTTAAGTTTGTATTGGCTTCAGCCAGAAAGATTCTCATTCATGAAGTAGTAGGGAAGGAGAGCGAGAGAAACAGGTTGAGGGTATTGTGGCTATAACTCAACTTTGACCTGAAGTCAAAATAAATAAAAATAACAGAAGTTCTGTTATTAACAAATAAATAAAAACTAATGTTTATACATTATATTACAGTTTATATATGTTTCCATTATTATTACATAAACTTATATATCCTGTAAATATATTAAGAGATATGTGGACATTTGTTTCCAGCTAATAAAGCTGCACGTACTTGTCGAGTTTTATATCTTTTATTATATAGTTCTGGAACTGTAATTGAAACAACCCTTGCAGCAATTAATTATATCACTAATATTACACTGTGTAGTTGTTGTCATTCATTTATAATTAGTTCCTTCAGGTAAAGTTAATAAAAGTCTTGCTATATTAAAAGCATAAAATATAATCTGTATAAATTCTAACAAGATATGAATAAATGAGATTTGTATATTGCACAGATTAATTGTGAAGAATGTTGTTTAAGAAGAAGCTTTAATGTAATCCTAAAATATTCAGAGACAAAAAAAACCCTCATATTTTGTTGTTTATTTCAATAACAAGATTGAAAGAACATTCATTAAAACACTGGAAAATTGAGTGAAATATTTCAATTTAAATAACGATCATTATTTGGTTTTATTGTTAATATCATGATTGCATTTGGCCCTGGATAGGTTTTCTAGACATTGAGTCAATTAACAAATAGACTTCAAGTTTGTTAATCGGAGTTAGGCTCGAGCCGGTGACAAGGGAACATCAGCTCCACGGCGGTTTCCCTTTTAATAGTTTTATTCGCCTAATCGAGCTAAGATTTGACACGTGAGCGAAGCCGTATGCTGGAGACCTGCTTCTTGAATTTGGAGAAAATCAAGCAAAGATCTTAGCCAGGATCAGAGGGCAAAGGAATCAACGTGCTTGTGGGACCGGGGTTCTTATCCCTGTGCAACATAGGACTTGTCGGCCCCCACCACTTCTGAGCAGCCACCTCCAGTAAGGTCCAGCAAATCAATTTTCACACATAGTCTCAGTCATTTGTAATAAACCCCATTGTTCAAGTATGTTGCTAATTGACCAAGCAAGATGCTGATTTACCAAAATACTTTTAGTCTGCTTCCATTTTTAAAAATTTATATATATTTAAATGGACTTTCTTAGCATATTAATGACTTTAAATGTCTCTTCTTCAAAACATTTCAGAAAAAATCAGCGACTTTTGTAATGTTTTTTTCTTTCTCGTAGGTCCCTGTCTTCCATTGAAGTCCCATACAGCCCCTTTTGGTCTATTATGTTTTCATCTAAAAATATTTCTGCTTTGGATTGGTCTATTGTTTTTAATGAATAAATAGGTAATTTTTTTGTTTGTTTTCAATTAGGAATTTTAATATAGAGGACAATAACCCTTAATCCTTAATTCAATGAAATGATTCTAGATTCTAATGTTTACTTTCTATGGAATCAAAATGTTTATTCAGTATCATTAGTTCAGTGCCGTTTCTTGCAGCACATTTCTTAGTCTCCGGCTTTTAATTTTTTCAATATTAAGTTTAAAAATGCCTCTTAGTGCTAAGGATGTTGCGCGTGGTGTGGCACTTATTGATGATGGACGTTCCATTAGATATGCAGCTAATGCCATCCATTAAGAAGTTCCATATGAAACATTACGAGAGCTGTCAGGCGTTTTCGGGAAACTGGTTCTTACAATAGAAGGCCCAGTTCTGGACGGCCTAGGGTAACAGAACCAAGGGTGACTGGTTTTTGACTTTGAGAATTTTACAAAACCGGCACTTTACCGTTGTTCAAGCAATTCATCAGCTCGAAGAAGTTCGAGGTGCAAATTTCTGAACGTACCGCTCGGAGAAGATTAAATGAGTATGGATTAATGGCTTTTCGTCCAGTAAGAGGACCAGAGTTGACCAGAACTCGCAGAGTAACACAAAAAGGGCATGAAAGGGTGTGGAGAAGAAGAAACGAAAGATATGCAGCCTGTAATTTTTCCCAGAGCCAACCTTTCCAACATGGTTCCTTAATGGTGTGGGCTGGGATTTCAATGGAGCTCCGCATAGAATTGGTTGTTGTTCGTGGAGGGTCTTTGACGGCCATTCGCTATGTAGATGAGATTTTTAAACCTCATGTATTGCCTATCCTCAACGAAATCGGCGATCGTTCTATTCTAATGCACGCCCACATAGTGCAGACGTTCCTTTAACAGAACAATATTAAGGTTTTAGCCTGGCCAGCACGTTCTCCAGATTTGAACCCCATTGAGCATTTATGTGATAACCTCGGAAGACGAATAAGAGCGCGTGCAAAACTTCCTGATACCCTGGAGGACCTTGAAAGGGCTCTTCGGGAGGAATGGGCTATCCTCCAGCAAAGGGACATTTCCCGACTGGTGGAAAGTATGCCGAGGCGTCTTCAAGAAGTAGTGAAGGCAAGAGGAGGAAACACGAGCTACTAAATGATGATGTAATTAATTTCTTTTAGAATAATAATGGTTCGTTTTTCAATTTTTTTTTCTCTAATCTTTTTTACCCAATCACATTTTGATTATTAAAAGTAAAAAAGATTATAAAATTCCATAAATACTAAGTATTATCTACAAATACCATGTATTATATACAAATACAACTTTTTTTACTAGTGGGTGAAATATTTTTAGATGAAAACATGAAAAAATCAAGTGGGTGGAATTTTTTGACTGTCAGTGTATATAATCATTAAATTATTTATGTGACCCAGGTAGTGAAAAATTATACAGAAATAGAGATTTATGACGAAGAATGTGAGAATAACAAAATATATTAATACTTACGGATAACATACTACCATTTAAAAACATAAAATCTGATTATTATAATATAAATTGTAACAGATCAATAGTTCAAATATTACCATTTTCATGAATGAATAAAAGACATATTCTTTTTTCTTTGATGTCTTCACAACTGATTTTAATCTATACAATCCTGCATTGGATTCCTATAAAAATTTCAATAATTTGTTAATGACTTGCCAGCATATTATGTAACAAGATAAAATTAATTGCAGAAATAATGTCAAGAAAAAACATACAATAAAATATTTATAAGGTTTCTGTAAAAATATGACTAACAAGGGGTGGTTATGGAGGTGGGAGGTGGGATCACAGATTTTAATGAAACTTTTTTTTGTGACACTAGATCGAAACATGTTAGACCAATGTCTGAGGATTCTTGCCAATGCACCTTAACAGCTGAGAAAAAAAATTATTTATACAATGTAAAAAAAAAATGTTTTATATTAATTTTTGCCTTTGCTTTGCACGGATTTTTAGATTATTATACATTAATCGATTTCTTTTTTTGTGCAAAATAAGAAAAAATATTGACTATGGTATTCAATGATTTAGAAAGTATCTCAATTAATAAAACCAAATAGCACTTTAAAGTTAAGTAGGCCAAGTAAATTTTTGTTATGACAAAAAAAGTCAGATTCATTTTTAGTGTTCTTTAAAACCGTTAAATTTAAATTTTTATGAAAACAAAAATTTTAAATTTTAGAACATGATTTTTTTGGAGGATTGTTTTTCCCGGCCGTTAATTAAAGCATTCATAACTTCTCAAGATTTTCTCCAAATTCAACATCAGTACAACCGTTGGAAAGTAGTATTAATGCTCTTCCAAACCACATCAATAAGTTCTGGATTTAATTCAGTTTTAAGCTAGAAAGTTGGAAAAACTTCGCAAGCATTTTTATTTTATATCTTTGGTTTTAATTTGTTTACGGGGACCTAGTTTGTACCATTTCATGTAGCATATAGAGCCCTATGTACCCAATAATGTTTGTATGAATCGGTGAAGATACTGTGAAGTTGTATAACGATTTTTGCTGTTGTTGACAAAATTTCAAAAGGATTCAACCTAGACAAATATTTTAATTTTATGATAGCTATAAAAATTTGTATTTAAGGTTTTTCTGAGGTGTGATAAAGAAATATCATCTTTGTTTCACACTAAAAAAATATTTACTCTAGATACCGAGCCAGTCTAGAAATAATATTACATTTATCAGATAGTTTTTGTATAAGAACAAATTGGATCAACCGACAGCAATGTGGGGGTAAATATTTTTGTAGTGAGAAACAAAGTAACAAGAAACAACACACATCCTTAAATACATTTTTTAAAATTAAAAATTAAAATTTTTGCCTAGGCTGGACCCTTCGAAATTATGTAGACAATCACAAAAATTGTGATAACTTTACCATGTCTCCACCAATTCACACTAACATTAATAGGTGTAAAGGGCTCTATATGCTACACTAAATGGTACAAATACTTGAATGGAAATGGCTTCGGTTTTTGTTAATTAAGATACTTTATAAATCATTTAGTACCATAATAATTTTTTTTCATATTTCGCACAAAAAGAGAAATTGATTGATGTATAATCTGGGCATAGGAAAGGCAAAAATTAATATAAAATATTTTTTGAAAATTGTATAATTTTTTTTTTCTCGGCTCTTAGAGCCTGAGAGATTGGCAAGAAACCTCGGACAAGGGTCTAATATTTTTTGACTTAGTAATACCACAAAAAGTTTCATTGAAGTTGGTGACCCCACACACATAACCTACTCTTGTAAGATGTTGCATAATAGATTAGTGTAATTCTTAAAAAAAATTAACAAAGTGCCAATCATTATGTTCAACCTTTAAACAGTAATAAATAATCCTGATAGTTTGTTCCCACTTTATGCCAATCAGGATTACTTATTACTGTTTAAAAGTTATAAACATAATGATTGAGACTTCTTTGTCAATTTTTTCATGGATAGTATTTTTGATTGGTAGTTCTGGATAACATGGGTTCATATCAAACATTTTTTGTAATTGATTACAATAAAGCACTGATTCAATAGTTTGACCTTCTATAATGAATAATAGAAGGTCAATTTTCAAAATACCAAAAGTATGTTTTGTTAAAATTGTCCTAGTTTAGTGACTGGTACAACAGACTGATTGCAATATCAGGGTGGCTACCAAACAGTTAAAGTAAAATTCCTTGACATTTCCATATTTAATGAAAATATTAAATGATTTGAGTAAAAAAAAAAAATCAGTCTTTTAAATAACAAATATAATGTTTTAGAGGAATAATTTTTTAAGCTTGATTAGGATTTTTTATTTTAGAAAACTTAACATTTAGTGATTTATTTTTATCCCTTTTATTTTACTTTCATAAACTGAGAGGAGGTAAAAGTTGATGCTTGACATATAAAGTTATAATTTTCTCTATTATAAAATAAAGTGAGCTACGAGAGATTCTAATATTAATGTAGTTTCTTTATTTATATAAACAGCATAATAATTATCCATATTACACCAACTATGCAATTTCTGGTGAAGAAATTTTCTTTTAAGGAGCACCACGGGTCGAACGAACGAGTCTTTGCCAGCCAGATCTTGATCCAGATGTGTATATTACAAATAGTAAAGAGTATTGGTATGTTTTTCTTTAAAAAAAATACTGTTTTATGTACATTTGTTTGAATTTCATACATTACCTTTGGCCAAATACTTAAAAAAAAAAAAAAAAAAAATGGCACTGAACCTATAAAATATGACAAGAAAATTAATTACAGTTGTTAGTGTTTTTTCTAGAAACTGATAATACTATACCTTGGCTTTATTTACTATTTCTTCCAAAAGTTGTTGTTGTTGTGGAATATCCACACTGCCAGTATTAATACTGTGGAATTTAACTTTATCCCTCAGAATCCATGCTTCTTCTTCACCATTTTCTATGTCATGGTAAAAAGTTATTTCCTGAGGAGCATCATAATCAGATGTAACCTGAAATAAATTAAAAGGAGCTTCATTGAATAAATGTGAACAAATATTAGAATAAATTCAACTAAGAGATAAAATAAAAATAATAAATGAATAATAATAACTTCAAAATCTGAATCGATTTTGAGAATATTTCTGAAAATTATATGTAACTAAAATTTAAAAAATATAGGTTTTTGCATTTTAAACCAATTTATGACTTTATTCAAACGTATGAAAATAATAATAGTGGAATGACAGTTGATAGTAGCCGATATAATGAAGTGAACTTGGTTGGTTTTTACTTCTGTATATTGTATATATATTGTATATTAATATATATTCACTGACTGAAAACCACAAAGCAACTTCTCTTCAATAAAAAAATAGTGTTTACTTTATGATCAACATACCTGAAAATTCACAATTGGAATTCTTATTAAATTATCTATAGAGGGTTACGATAGTAATATCAAAAGATTGTAAATAAATTAGTCTTTTAAATTGACTGATTACAATAATATACTTATAAATATACATTTATAACAGATACAAAAATGGATTTCATAAACCATACTCAATTAATTAAAAAACTGGGATAGCATGAATGTTTTGGTAAGATATATGGAAACACCAATAAAAACTAACAAATTTCCATAACCATTAACAAATTAGTTAAATTCATTTCACTTTAGTATATAAATGCAAATATATGTTGATATGTTAGAAGCATATTTTAAAAATAAGCATAATATTCAGGTAATATATTACACCTCACTGAAAATATAACTAAATAAATAATTTCATAAAACATGTTTTAAACAGGTCTCTACATAAAACATTTTTATTGGTAAATTAAATATTTTATTCATATACAATCAGAATAAGGATAAAGAAAAAATAATACATCCAAGTTCATTAAAGAATACTATGTAAACTTACATGACCAGAAACTAGTATGAATATAAAATTACAGTATACGACAGGAGTTTTAAATATTCTCATAATGATTTGATTTAATTTAACTTCATTAAAGTAAACTTTTTCAATAGAGAGTTCACGAATCTAAGGTTATAAATACGAAACATTTATTGATAAGATAGAGGCTCAAACAACGATTCCATAGAAGTACATGCGGAAGTTCCTAAACTTAGCACTAAGTTCATGAAGACATCGTTTGCTCTGTTTAAAGATGAACCCGATGCCATCGATAAGTTTGGTACTGAGTTAAGAAAAACATATTGTATGTAATTGTTTAAGTATTTATCACATGTCGAGGTATGTGTGCAGAGGCAGTATTCAAGTTACCAGAAGACCTCGCCAGTGCGTGTTCAGTATTGAGGGTAAGCTGAGTGGATGAAGGAAGATGTAAAGATGGATGACCTTAAGTGTCAGGCGGATCAGGATTGCGGTGTAAGGGATCAGCCTTAACACTCCGCAAGGACGGTTACCATAAACGGAGGGATCAATCTCCGGAATTGTGAGGGGATGAAATACTAACGGAGGGATAAATCTCCTGACTTACTACATAAGACTGCAAGAAGAAGGATCAGCGTCCAGACTTGCATGGAGTTATATCTTGCTGCGGTTTATTGCCCTCCGAGGTATGTCCTGACACCCACGATGTTTAATAATTTCTTTAAACATCTTGGTAGATGCTTTGTTGCAGGAGGCGACTACAATGCCAAAGATCAGTTCTGGGGATCCAGACTATCTACTCCAAGAGGAAGGAATATTAGGTATGTTCTTCATGAGCTTTCATTAGACACAATATCACCTAATTCACCCACTTACTGGCCAACTTCTAGACTGAAAACACCAGACTTACTCGATTTTTTCATAACTAAAGGACTCCGAACAACACCTCACACCATAACAACGAGTTCAGATCTTTGCTCTGATCATTCCCTTTTCCATTTGGTATTGTTTGAAGAGCCTTGTGAAGCTACAAAAAAACTGTCCCTGATCAATGGCATAATGGATTGGGACAGGTACAAGAACCAATTGGACACTGCTCTCTCTATTCCTCTATCCATTAAAAACGAAGAAGAACTTGAGGATGCCGTTGAATACTTCACACGAAATATTCAAGAAGCAGCATGGTCTTCATCAGTAGCGAAACCTCAAAAATATGAGTTGTTACCAATGTACCCACAATACATAAGGGACTTGATCAGAGCGAAGAGGAGAGCTCGCAAAATATGGCAGACTGACAGACTCCCATCAGATAAACGAAATTACAACAGACTTAATAATGAACTCAAGCGACAGATTGGAAAATTCAAACGAACAACCTATGACAGCTACATAAGAAATCTCTCAACCGACGATGGAAGCTTGTGGAGACATACCAAAAACCTTATTAAGCATCGTGTAGTGTCAGCACCCCTTTGAAGAGAAGACGATTCCTGGGCCGTGACAGACGGAGAAAAATCAGAACTCTTTGCCGAATATCTTTCTTCTGTTTTTGTACCACACACAGACCTCACTAATACTGTACACGATAACAACGTACTAAAGACTTTAGACGTGCCCTCACAACTAACTTCACCTCCTATTTCATTCACACCTTCCCAGATTGCTGAACAAATCAAAAAGTTGCCTAAAAGAAAAGCTCCTGGACATGACTTGATTAACGCTGAAGTACTCCAACAAATGCCAAGAAAAGCTCTAGTGCTTTTGACAACTATTTATAATGCAATTCTGAGGAAACTGAATTTCCACTACAGTGGAAATACTCACATATAATAATGATTCAAAATCCTAATAAGGACAAAAACTCACCTTCCTCATACCGACCAATCAGCTTACTACCTATCTGTTCCAAAATTTTTGAAAGCTTACTGAACAAAAGACTTGTTGATATACTAACAAACACCAAAATAATATCTGACCATCAATTTGGATTTAGGGCACATCACTCAACTGTACACCAACTACATAGAGTAATGGACTTCATATCTACAGCACTAAAGCAGAAAGTATATGCAACTGGCGTATTTTTGGATGTTGCTCAAGCGTTTGACAGAGTTTGGCACCAGGGTATTCATTTTAAACTCAAGACAATACTCCCACCTACATATTATCTAATTCTACAATCCTTCCTTTCCGATAGATTTTTCTCGGTCCGACACGGCTCAGAACTATCTTCCATCAGGTCTATCTCAGCAGGTGTACCTCAAGGTTCAGTACTCGCTCCACTACTCTATATCACATACACCCATGACATATCTTGCAGTCCCAACATTTTAACAGCGACATATACAGACGACACAGCAATTTTAGCGAGACACAAAAATCCAACATACGCCTCACAGACCCTACAACAGTATTTAACAGGATTACATGACTGGTTCAAAATTTGGAAAATCCGACTAAATCAAGAAAAATCACAGCACATCACATTTACGCTTCGACATGAAACATGCCCTCCAGTTTTCCTTGACAATACACAGATTCCACAGACAGACACCGTTTACTACCTTGGTCTGACATTTGACAGAAAAATGACGTGGGGCCCACATATAATCAAGAAACGAAAAACGCTAAATCAAAGATTAAGAATTCTGAACTCACTTCTTTCGAAAAATTCAAAATTAAAACTTAGACAGAAACTGAACACATACAATTACTTACTAAAACCTATTTGGACTTACGCATCACAAATATTTGGAACTGCTAAAAAGACTCACTTAAACAAACTTAAAACCTTTCAAGCAAAAACATTCAGGACAATCATAAAAGCACCTTGGTACGTTAGCAACATAACCTTACATACTGACCTCCATATGCCGACTGTTAACGAACACATACGAACTCATTACAAACGATTCCATGTCAACTTACAAGGACATCCCAATACACTTATATATGACTTGGCCACTACGAATATGCCAGGTAACGTCTGCAGGAGACTGAAGAGGAGCTGGATGAGGGACCTCCTCGCCTAACGTAGATATCACGCCGAGTGAGGTCCCGCTGGGCACTGATCCTCGTAATGAATTTCATGACATTATTTTTTCCAATCAACCTCACATTCACTGGTTGTCATTACCATTTTGACAGGTATGAATAAAAAAAAATAAACCAAAAAAAAAAATTCTGTTGCAGGTTTCCACCACTCAATTGATCCATCATCCGATTCACATATATTAAATTTGATCTCATCTGCAAAAGTAATGTCATACCAGTGATTTGTCTAGTTACTACATATTAATTACCTTTTAATACACTCTTTGATGATATCCAGCCTTTTTCTCTTATTATTTAAACTTATTTTTCTTCTCAATCTAACTCTAGCAGCTGCCGAGTAAAGAAACACTTCATTTATTTATTTTTATTTTATTTAAATTTTTCAAATAGTGTTAATTATAACACAAGTTTAGTATAAATATTGATAAACTGAGAACTTTATATTATTTTTTGTTTACTACCACAATCCAACAAGCCGCCTGGACTGCTTCCTTCCCAAAAGACTCCTCCAGAATTCCTAAAATGACCATTCTACCCCAACACCTCCTTGACCTAATCCAAACCAAACGCCGTGCCAGATTATTGTGGCAACGTACCCGACATCCTACCGACCGCTGCTCCTATAATTATTACTGCAAAAAATTAAAACTGGAATTAGCCACCTTCAGATCACATTCCTTCAACTCCTACCTATCCTCCCTTTCTTCTCGCGACAATTTTCTTTGGAAAACCACTACCAAAATCTTAAATCCTCACCGCATTTCCCATCCCCTCCGACGAGATGATGGCTCCTGGGCAGCATCTGACGAAGATAAGGCTGAGGAGTTCGCCATTCACCTATCCAATACATTTATTTCACATCCGGAATCCCATCCTGCCCACACCGTAACAGTAGAAGAACTCCTTACATCACCAATCCCACTTTCCTTGCCCCCAAAAGCTATTCATCCTTCCGAAGTGAAATTTCAATTAAAAAAATTAATCCCCCGTAAAGCTCCTGGACATGATCTCCTTACCCCTCAAATCCTTCGACAACTTCCATCCAAAGCAGTCATATTCCTTACATATATCTACAATTGTATCCTACGCACCACCCACTTTCCTCTGCTATGGAAACACTCCACTATTATCCTTTTCCAAAAACCAGGCAAACCTCCCAATATCTCAACATCCTATAGACCAATTAGCCTACTCCCAATACTTTCAAAAATTTTTGAAAAGATCCTTTTGAAACGAATCCTACCCATTATAGAATCCCAAAATATTCCTTCCCATCAGTTTGGTTTTCGCTCCCAACATTCTACTGTTCAACAAGGACTCCGAGTTGTTGATCATATTTCCTCAGCCCTAGAAAACAAGGAATACTGTTCGGGTGCATTTCTGGACATTGCACAGGCATTTGACCGGGTATGGCACTCCGGACTGCTCTTCAAGCTTAAAATCCATTTACCTCAGTCCTTGTACCTAGTCCTCCGATCCTACCTTTCTGACCGCTTTTTCCGAGTTCGCTGTGGAACAGAATTTTCCAATATCTACTCCGTTAAAGCCGGTGTTCCCCAAGGCAGCGTCTTGGGTCCCGTGCTTTACATCCTCTTTACTGCTGACATCCCTGTTCATCCCGATACTTTTCTTGCAACATTCGCTGACGATACCGCAATCTTATCATCCAACTCTGATCCCAACATAGCATCCTTAAATCTCCAAAACCACCTCACCTTGATTGAGCACTGGTGTAATAACTGGCGCATTAAAGTTAATGAATCTAAATGCCAACATATTACCTTTACACTCCGACGCAGTTCCTGTCCACCAGTACACTTTAATTCCATCCAGCTTCCTTACTCAGACACAGTCCGGTATCTTGGCTTTCATTTAGACCGAAGACTAACGTGGAACCCACATACTAGACTCAAAAGACAAGAACTCAACCGACGATACGGCCAGCTATACAGACTACTAAACAGAAAATCCAAACTTTCTATTGAAAACAGATTACTTATTTACAAGACAATACTGAAACCTATATGGACATACGGACTTGAACTGTGGGGGACAGCAAAAGCTTCTAACATCAAACGTATTCAATCCTTTCAATCTAAAGTCCTTCGAACAATAGTTGGTGCTCCGTTCTATGTAAATAACAAAATCCTACACCATGACCTTAATATCCCATTTGTCCTAGACCTTATTCCAGAAAAATTCTCCAAATTTCACCAGAACCTTACCTATCATCCAAATCCCCTTGCACAATCTCTATCCAGCACCACCCATCCTTACAATCCTCCTCGAAGGTTGAAGCGGCAGTGGCCCAGAGACCTTTTGTAAATAAGCATCTATTGGAGTTTTGGCAATGGCCAGATCCTCCACTCAAGCCCGAGTGTGTATGATTAGGTTAGTTCTTTTGTTTATATACATTTATTTTATTTTATTGTATCTATTTTAATTTAATTTTATTGTATTTATTATTATTAAGTTTCTGTATTTTTTTTTTATTATAAATAGAGTGTGAGTGTGCTTTCTCTGATCACTATTATAAATGTCCTTGATGTGACAGAATGTAATATTTCTAAATAAACAAATATATATTATTTTTGGTAACAATTTATCATGTAAGAATGCTCTTTTAGGGAGTAAAGTGAACGTGGAAGACGAAGAAGCTACTTTCAGCAGTTCGAAAAAAGACGGACAATTTAATCCAGCACCGAAAAGCAGACCATTTGAGTCAAACTTATATAACATACCTATTCAAAATAGCTACTCGATTTTATCCGATGATAAAGAAGATGAAGAGATATCTGACCAAACTAACGTAAATACTAACTTACACGAATTTCTCCCAATAGTAGTTGATCCATCCTTTCCAAATCACAAGGAGATAATTACAAAACTTAAAAATATAGTTAAATATATAAATATTAAATACGGTGGAAACAAAAATATTTTTTATGTATATAGTAATGAAGACTTCATGAACATAAAAAATGAACTTAAATTAGTCAATCATAACTTCCATATCTATACTTCTAAACATGAATTAATAACAAAGTGGTATTGAAAATCATGCCCCCCACTATAATATCGAAGGCATTCAGGCCGACCTAATTAAACAAGGCTTAGAGATTTAAAAAATCTTCCAAATGAGTAAAAAACCTGAAGGTCTTGAAAAATAGTTACCAATATCAATAGTTATATTAAATAATAAAGATCAATTGGTTAAACTTGATCGTATAAAATACTATAATTATGTTGTTATTTCATGGGAAAAATATGTAATTAAAAAAGTTTTGACGCAGCGTTATTTATGTAAAAAATAAAGTCGCATAGCTCGAAACTTTTTCAAAAAACCCCGATGCCTGAAGTGCTCCGAGTAACACTTATCAAAAGACTGTCCTAATACGCCAGGATTTTGTCCCTAAGTGCAGTAACTACAATGAAAGTCATTACGATAAATGCTCACACTTCATACGAAACCAGCAATCCAAGCTTAAAAAACACCGAGCACAGGCGGATCTAAGGAGGGGGGGGGCTTTTGTGCTGAACCTCCCCTTCTCCAAAATGGTAAAATGTAACCATGTTTTATGGGAAAAAATTATCTCTTAAAGTACTATTACATTAAACAGGACTTCAAGAATCACTTAATCACCATTTCACATAGGTAGTTAGTATCTTTATTTTTTTCAAATTACTTATAGTTTTATATATATATATATATATATATAAATATATAATATATATATATATATATATATATATATATACATATACATATATATATAGAGTATTTTATTAACCATTTTAACCTAAAATGAGATACATATTTCAGAAACGAACCTTTATGAACCAATTGTATTCATGATGCGTGAAAGATGCCAAAAAAGATAGTTCAGATTCGGGGAAACATTTATCTTAAGTAACAGCGGCATTATTGCTGAACCAAATTATTTACTTTATTTCTCTTGATACCGAGAGCAGAAAGAAAATATCAAAAACGAAACAAAAATAATGGTTGTGCCAAGAAATGGTTTAAAATTTCCCGCGTTACAGCGAGTGGTGGGGGCAGATCTAAAGATAAAAGATAATACTTAAGCCGCAAGAGCGCCTGGTTGTCTCGGCCCCATTTCATCGGCAGTCACTGATCAAGCACCACCACCAGCATTAGAAGTCATCGCAGACGTACCGAGACCCCTGAAGTGTCATTGATAGAACATGGATTGATAGATGGAGGTCTCATTGTGACCTGCGGACCAAAAAGTTTGGAGACCCCAGAATTAAACAATTATGTTTTCCGTATGTTGTGAAATGTCTAAACGGCGCACCCATCTTTACATATATGGTTTAATTCATCACAAACAAAGCAGTAAAAATCAATTTTCAATTGTTACATATTTCATGTTGTTTGTTTTTCACGTAATTTACTCTCCACAAAGATAGTTTCGTCTCACAGGGGACGGGTCATTGGAAACCGTGCACCGAGGTCAATAAAACTATCCTTTTATAGATATTGCCGTATACTGTTCCTTCATTCCCTAAAAAGAACCGTTCTTTTTGATCCGCTTCTTCGTGAACGACACATCGTTAGTGTTGTTATTTCTAAGCATGTCAAGTTTATGTGTTATTGTGTGTTGATATTTTATTTCTTCTCATGACATTCTGCAATAATTTCTAAAAAATGGAAATGAAGTTTGAAAAGTTTGAAGCAAATGCCCAAAAACTTTTTGAAAATATTAAAAGTTCATTTAGACTTAAAATTGCTGAAAACCCGAGTTATGCTGAAGAAGTTTCTGATGCAATAGTCGCTAGATTAGTTGAAGAAATTTTGAGGGAGACCACTTGTGATATCCACAGAGCAATCAAGTTAGGATATAGTAATTTGGTTTATGCAAAAACATATGATCATTCTTTAGATGACATTGATTTACCATTTTACCCGGAAAATGTTGATAGCAAAACTGAAGATATTAATTGTCCTAAGTGTCATAAGTTAATTCATGCTTCTCGCTTTGCACCACATTTAGAAAGGTGTATGCAGCAGGGACGAAATAGTTCTCGAATTGCAAGCCAAAGAATTGCTAATAATTCAAAAGAGTGTTCTTATGGCATGGGTTCTGATGAAGATGATGATTGGAAAGCTGAAAAGAGCAGAAGTGTAAAAAAAATCGATGGGAAGAGGAAGAAAGATTCTGCTCGAAAACAGAAGCCGTACAAGTCCGATCTTTCAAAAAATCAGAAAGATGCAGGAAATATCTCAGCTAATATAAAAGATATCTTTCAATCGACCAGTAAGTCAGGAAGAGAACATTATGGCAAAAGTTCTAAGGATCAGGACCCTGAAGTATGGATAAGTCCAAACAAGGTAGCATCAGGAATTGATGATAAGTCACTTATTTTATCCACGAGATGTGGTGTAAAATCTGATCATACAGGTAAATATTGTGGTAGGTCTTTAAGATGCCCCCTTCATTCTGATGCTGATCGAGCTGTAGCAAGAAAATTGTTGTCTGGTGAAAGCATGGATATAGATGTTGAAGATGTTGAGTGTACAAAAAACGTATTTGGTACTTTTTCACATCTAAACTTAACACCATCAACTCAAACTTCTAAAAAAAAGGAAAAACAAAAACATGGGACACAAAAATACTGATATAAGTAACACTAAACAAAAATTCTTTTTCTAAATGAAACTCTTATTTATAATGGTTTCGAAGCAAAAAGTATTTTTGTTTAGTGTTCAGAAATAACTTTTTCTATAGTTTGTGTTAATGACAACAAATATTTTTTTATCATATGTTAAGTTATATCATTTATGTCGATTGAATGTTTCTTCTTCTCTTCTTGAATGTTTCTAGACTCGGAATTTTTAATAAATTTCTTTAAAACTTAGTGTTTGTCACTGTTATTTTTTTTTCTTGAATATTATGATGGATATTAAACAAAAATAAAAAACAAGATTTTACTTAATGCGTGAACTCTCAAGGCAGAAAACTTATTAACTATGTTTATTTTATTCACGTAATTACTTTTCATAATTGTTACATATGTGTGTTGCATTTATTAAAAAAAACGTATTATGAAACTGTTTATTAGTATTAATTTTGTAACTATGTTGAATGACGTATTTAGAGCCTGTTTCTAGGTCTGGAGTTAAGATTAGTTCTAGACCAAGTATACTTTAACTTATTCCTCAATTTTGAAATTAACCCGTGTGTCATAGAGGGGTCAGACCAAGCCTAAAACAAGTATTCTGAAGCTAAAATAAAAATAACATTATTTCTTTTTGGAATTGTTCTTTTGTTGTTCATGAGAATTCAAGAGATTACCACTAACTCCTCTTTATTGTTATTGTTATTGTTATAATTATAAATAAATACAATTATAAATAGATTTATTTATTTCATTCCAATATGTAAACATATGTTCTTGTGTTTTTAAAGTATTAAATAATAAAAGTATTAAAAACAGTTTTACCTATTGCTAAGAAATAGATCAATGTATATTTACTTAAGAAATTATACTATTTTCTCAGAGAAAACCAAAATAGAGCTACAAAAACTGACTTTAATGCTATAATTACAGAAGGAAATGAGGCTTTGGGTTACATCAGCTAATATTATGAGGGTACTTAAATGTTTTGTTGGAAAATATTTTTAGAATATTAGCGTGATGTCAGTTAAGGGTAAGGAACAACCAAAATATTCAGAAATTTTGCCTTTGCTGATATAACTAGCGCATTTGGAAAGGATAAACCCAATGGGGAACTCTTATGAAGATGGATTAAATTAATAGACCATTAAAGTAATTTTATTGGAACCTTTTTTTAAAGAATTTTTTTGTAGTTAAGAAAATTAGGTTTTTTTTTTTTTTGTTAAAGTTAAAAATATTTTTGGAGATAAACACCAGTTAAGTTGAAAATGATGGTGATTGTGATCATGAAAATGGTATTACCATAAATTATTCTTAATATCTTTTAGCTCCTAAAGAGCTGAAATATTTGGCATAGTAATTAATAAGGAATAACATAAACATACATTAATACATATCTAATAATGAATTGAATGTATCTTTCAGGCATGAAATTTTATTACTATATATTTTACTTTAATTGTAATCTTTTGTTTTAATGTCTCCTTGTTTTATAAGATTTTTTTTAGAACAATAAATCTGCAATTTTTTATGTAATTAACATGTTGCTTGTATTAAGATATTATTAAATTGTAAATTGGTGTAGTATGCCATAGGATAATTGACTTCATTGTTTATGTAATAATAATAATAATAACCTTTATTGTACATACAATGCAAAAAACAATGGATATAGATATAGATAAAATCTTTACATTTTGATTTAAACTTGACATTCTTATATGTACAAAATTAACATTTTAGTTAAGGTTTTGAGTTTGATTTTCTTTCTTTTCTAGATCTCTTGCAACCATACTAGGTAATAAACCTGTCCCATCCATTTCCACTCTTTCCTTTCCAATGCTACTCTCCTCCAGGCTGCTTCCCTGCAGTTCTTCTTCATCTCCTTGTCCCAGTCTGTCAGCACCCGCTGTCCTCTCTTCCTCACTTGCTCTCTTGGGTACTAATCCATAAACTGCCTGGTCCATGTTAATTCATTCCTCATGATTACATGTCCGGTCCAAGTCCACTTCCCGATGTGTACTTTTCCCACAATATCTGGAAGGTCAGTCTTAGCTCTGATCCATTTATTCACTTTCCTATCCGTTTGTGTTATTCCGAGAAGATATTGATCCATTCCTCTGACAGTTATTCTCAATTTGTGTCAAGTCTTCTGGTTAATTACACATGTTTCACAACCATATGTCATGACAGGAAGTACTGTGCTCCTCCAAAGTATTCTCTTGACCTCTGAGCTCGCCAAGAATATATATATATCCTTAAATTTTAAGAGTGCCCCATCCCTGGGTACATCACCTGATTATTTCTTCAGTTTGTCCTTTATTTGAGATAAGGTGGCCAAGATATAGAAATGTTTCTACTTTCTCTGTATGGTGTTCACCTATTTTTATATCTCAATTTTATATCTCAATTTTTACAAATATATACTTGTATTTTTTATAATTTATTTTGAGCCTTGTTTTCTCCAGCCATTGTTTGTTTGTTGTTTGCCATCGTTAGGATTTCTTCTTTATTTTTACCTATTAGGACTTGATCATCTGCAAACTCTAAATGGTTCAGCCACTCTCCAAAAATGTTCATTCCTTTGTTCTGCCAATTCATAGTTTGCATCAAATCATGGAGAACTGATATAAATATTTTTTAGAGAAAGGGTATCACCTTGTCGTACACCTTTACAAATTTTTATTTTTGCTGTTGTACTTCCTGACTTATATTCTGCATTGGATCTCGAATACATATCTTCCAGTAGCTTGCATATTCTTGAACTAATGTTTCTCTTTTCTAACATATTTATAATGCAATCGATTTTTAGAGAGTCAAATCCTTTTTTGTAATCCAGAAAAAGGAGGCTCACTGACAGATTATAGTCATTCGCTTTCTTAATTAACTCTTTAATCACAAATATGTGGTCTACAGTAGAGTAATTCTTCCTAAATCCTGCTTGATGTTTTTCTGGTTCTATATCCAATTTGTCTTCTATTCTTCTAAGTAGGATTTTAGAAAATATTTTATATGAAACAGAGTAGGCTTAATGGACAATAATTATTTAAATCTCTCTTATCTCCTTTCTTTGGCAGTTATGAGTTTTGCAGTTTCCCATTCTTCAGGAAAGCTTGCATTCTTAAGGCATGTATTATATAAGTGAGTGAGAGCCTGCGCTAGGATCATTCACGCAGCTTTTATTTGTGCAATTGTCAGACCATCAACTCCTGATGTCTCTTCCCTTACAAATATCTATTACACTTAACACTTCTGCAATCATAATTTATTCTTTTGGATCCCAGTTTTCTATGTTCCACTCCGCATTTTTATCTTTTCTTTTATCATAATATAGTTTTTCATAATATTCTTTTATTCTATTAATTATCTCCAAGTTATTTAATTCTTGCCCATTATCATTTAAAATAGCAGTCATTTTTGTTATTGTAATCCCTACCTCTTTTAGTTTACCTCCTGTCCTAATAGCTTCCTCGATCTTTTCTACCTTCCTTTGTCTTTCTCTCAACCAGTTCTCAATTTCCTTTCTGATTAATTTGTTAAGTTGTCTTGTATCTTGCTCTTTTTTTTTTTTTTTAATTTTCTTCTTTTGTTTAGAAGATTTTTAATCTTTCTTGGGAGATTTCGACAGTTTTCATATATTGTGGAATTGTCTTCCTTAATCTGTTCAAGTACCTTTTTTAATGAGTTTGTTATTTCTGTAATTTGGGTTGAAGTTGTCATCTCTTAATCTAACTTAGGCAAAACTGATTTTAACTTATCTTCAAAATTCCATTTTATTAAGTTTTCTAATTTAGCTTTACTGGATCTCCTGTTTTATTTTTTATGTTTTACAATGGTGAATTTTTTATTCAACATTGCCCCAACTGGTCTGTGATCACTGCCAATGTCAGGGTGACTTAAAACTTCCACATTGATCACCAATTGCTTATTTTTAACAATTATGAAGTCTATTTTTTGTCTTTCTATCTGGACTCTGCCATGCCCATTTGTTATTAAGATTTTTTTCAAAAAAGCTATTCATGATGTAAAGACCATCAGCTTCCACAAACTCAATTAGTCTGTTTCCTCTATTATTCAATTCACCTATTCTAAATTTACCCATATATTTTGAGTTACTTTCACTGCCTATTTTTGAATTAAACTCTCTGATTAATATTAATTGATTATACCTGTCCTCATCATTTGCTATTTGTAGATCCAAATAAAATTTTTCAATCTTACTTTCTTCTGCATCTGTAGTGAGAACATAAACTTGTATTATTTTAAGTGTCGTCTTCTGAATTTTATTTAGCTCTATTAACAGCCTAGAAATATGATGAGTGTAGGTTTTGAATGATTCTACCTCCGTTTCTATATTTCTATTTATAAGGAAGCCAGTTCCACCTTGCCCTTTTACTGCACAATTATAATATAGTGTTGTACCATCTTTGTACTCCAAACTGCCTGCACCATATCTCTTCATTTCTGATAGATCAATAAGAGACCAGTTCATGACTTCCAATTCGTTTTTCAACTCGGTTAATTGAGAACCTGCCATTAATGTACTACAATTATAGCTGATTATATCCCACGTTTCCATCTGTGATAATTTTTTAGTTTCCTTTTTATTTATTATCCTGTGGAAATTTCCATTGTCATAACCTAGTTTGGTAACCTGGTTGCCCCCAAACAGCTAAGAATTCGTTACAGAACCAGAGGTTCTTAATATTTTGTCATCCTCATTTATGACCTGTTTGAAATATCTCTCCAGGCTGGTGCTTCTTAAATTCAAAGAACTATTTATTTTCTTACTTGCTTGTTTTTTATTATACAAGTCTTCTATCTCATTTTTACGATGTGACTCGGCCTTATTTTCGTATGTGGATTCCTCACTTCTCTGTCTTTTAGCTCTTTCTGTTGTATCACTATTTATGAATTCATCCATAACTCTGTCTTTTGATACAATTTCTGACTATATTACTGCTGGAATCTTCAGATTTTAACTCTTCTAAAGTATAAATGATACCGTCAATAAATGCTCTATCTCCTGTATATTTTGCTATGCTTCCATTTTCACGGGCTATTTTAATATATGGCCATAATTCTTTCCTGGTCACTATTTCTTGAGGAGTATAATCGCAAGATTTGATTTAAGTTGGCAGCTTGCATTCAAAATCTGTATTTTTTTTCTCAATGCTAAAAATTTTATCAACACCGGCCTATTCTGTTTTGATGGTGATCCCAATCTGATGATTTCGCTGATGATGAGTTCGCTTCTATATAAAATGAAGGGTCAAAGATCGCCACCAGCACTTTCTGCGTTATTTTATGTTTTTCCTTATATCTTCGTCAAAAATCATCGTTCTTGAATTCCATAAGTACTAATATAATTAGCAAGGATGCTTGTTTTGGATTCCATCGAAGTTCACCTGATTAAAATGACAAACGAGCTGTAAATTGATCTATTTGGCGTCATTAAAGCGTAATTTTCTTGATTCTAATTTTGTCACCTCTCATAACTTTGAAACTATTTACAAATATGAAATAATGGTCTTTTTTTATTTTTTGCAGTCCTTAGTGAGAGAAATGTTTATAAAATGACTTTTCGCCTTTTCATTTATTAATGATTATATCTGGGCTCCATACGAAATTTAATGCTTTTTAAAATTCCATTTAAGCTTATTTATTGGGTTGGTAAATATGTCCTTACGGTTATTTTGTTTATTTTTATGTCACTATGATACACTTCTTACCTGATGAATGAATCCCTATGATGGATTGTTTATTCTGTTTGTAATATATCAACAACTATATCTGTTAACTCTTGATGAAACTACCTTAGTATTGTCTTTACTATTGCATTGTGATATGTAAGAAAATATCATTCATTATCGGTATATTTTGTTGTATTATTTTAAAAAATATAAGCGTACTGCAGAAGCCCATGGACAAATTTGCAGTGTTTATGGGGATGATGCCTTAACCGAACGCATCTATCAAAACTGGTTTGCCAGATTTCATTCAGAAAATTTTGATATCAATGATGCTCAACAGTCTGGTTGCGTCATGAAATTAAAACGAACAATGTTAAGGCCATTGTTGATCAAAATTCCACCCAATCAGTGCGAGAGATTGCTATGGCCCTAAATGTGTCGTACACAAGCGTAGAAAACCATTTGCGCAAGCTCGGCTATGTTTCCAGGCTTAATGTTTGGGTCCCTCACTCTCTGACCGAAGTCACCTTGGCAACACGCATTTCTGTTTGTGATTCACTACGGAAACGGTAACAAAACGACCCATTTTTGAAAAGGTTGCTAACAGGAGATGAAAAATGGATATTTTACGATAATGTGGTCCGTAGAAAATGTTGGGGACCAGGTAATGAGGCACGTAGAAAAATGTCAAAACCCGGATTGCATCCAAAGAAGATAATGCTTTCCATATGGTGGGATTTCAAGGTTTTTATTTTCTATGAGCATTGCCATCAGGACAAACAATTGATTCAACTCTATTCTGCTCAAAATTAACAAAATTGGATCAATCAATTAAAAATAAACGCCCAGAACTGGCAAATTGGAAGGGTGCTGAATTATGAAACTCAACCGTCGAAAAGTGAAAAAAAAACTTTATTGAGAAAACAAATCAAACAATGAACATTATGACATGCTAAGTACTACTGATACAGATATCTTGCTTACTGACTAGCCTAGGATTTTATGGGGGTATATATAGGTAGAGGAGAGGGAGGCTGCTCAGAATGTCAAGTCAGCATAGTTCGTTTCCATAACTATTCCCCCCTTAAAAAGTGAGGTCCTCCGAACTAGGATGCTTGTTTTTCGGTAAGGTAGGAATGCCACGCTCTAGACCTGGCGTCGCAAAAGGATGATAGCTCGATGGGATTGCTGATAGGTGGGTGATCAGGAGTTACAATGTTTGTTAGAGGTGTGGGGTTAGTCTTATTTTTAAAAATGTTT